ATACTTCGCATGCTGATAACAGCTGGTGAATATGCCCGATTATATCGGTATGAACATTGTGAAGCTGAAGTATGGACTTTGGCATATAAGTTAGCATCAGAAATGAATGATTATACAACTATTTATAGTATGTTGAGCTATTTATCATAATTAAGAAAAAAAATGTTTTACGAATGAGCTAATATGAATCCTATTACAGTTACAAGTCGTTGTATATCATTAAGACAAGTCAATTACGATTGGATCACTACTGCTAAGGAACATATCATAAATTATAGAAATTCTAAGGACGAAAATGTAATTGGCTCCATTGCTATCTTTTGGATAAGTTTAGCAGATCTCTATTTTGAATGTGGAAAGGTAAGAGGAATTTAGCATAATTTATCTTTCAATAGCTTAAAATACAAATATATATAATAATATATAATATGTATACAAAATGTTCTGTTGTTTTTAGTATGATGATGCTAAGCAATTACTTATCGAAGCTAGGAGTCTTTCAGGAATTTCATTTCTTGCTAATAGAACCGTGTATTTGTTAAGTTTAGATGTCATCATACGCAATAGTCATTTTTATATAGATAATATGCAGCATGAGAATTATGGTTCATATATTGTGGAAAGTTTATTGGCAGTAAGAACCTTAAATCAAGATCTGTTGTCGAAAAAATGTAATTATAATTAATGAAACTATTTACATTTTTATTCTATATAATTCTAATATAAAGCTTCGTCAAATTGTATAAATATAAAATTACTCAACTATTTATAAATCGATCTTTTTCAGGGATAAATCGATCAACGTATCTTTTTAGTTACGATACACTTTTCACTATGACAGTTAATTTGTCCGTAAGGATAAATAGTCTACTATCTTTTCGTGGTATTTGTCCGGATTTAGTACTACTCTTAAAGTCGGCACAGAGCTTAAATGCGATGTTACGCACTGCCGAACTATTGAAATCGCTATGTTACATCGATTTGTCACGTTTACAACTGGAGGATTGCGAAGTAAAGTTACAAGGACTTGAACACATGTTGAACATCGAGACGTTTCAATTATCGATGGAGTCTAAACTCGTTGAAACATCGTTCGTGCAACTTCCAGTGACTCCCACGAAGATTGTAGATCCTGTCAGAGATACGCCTCAGTATGGCGCTTCCCCAGTGCTCGGCAAGAAAGTATTTGATCCGCCAAAATTCACATCGCATATGAATTGCGATTGCTACAAATGTAGTAACGTTTCGTATCAATACTTGGTATTTGCTACCACTTATATCAGAGCGCAGTTATATGCTTTGCAGAATCATACCATGGCAGCACTCGATCATTTTCACGGCGCTTTTCAATTAAGGCAAAAACTATTCAAAGAAGAAAAATCAGTTCTACCCAAAAACTGGCCTTGTGATGAAATTGATATAAAGCGATTCTCTTGGCAGACTCGTTATATAACTGATTATATACAACTATTGATTGATTTCTGTTATTTTCTGAAAGCAAAAATAACGTCGAGACAAGAGGATGTATTCGATATTGCCAATTTAGCTATCAATATATGCTACAAATATAAATTACAGGGACATCCCATCTATATAACGGCTAAGGAATTAATACTTGACAATGAATTCCAGCCGGTATTGGATTCTTCAGACTTAAGTATGTACTTTTTAACATAAGCAATTCATGAGAAAATAGGACAAGAATTTACCTCGTATTTTTTTAACTACTTGAAACTTTTGTTACGTGATATACATCATTTTAAATAATGTGTGAACTTATCTCCCTCTAAGAAATTTTTCATTATTAATAACTTCAAAGTAGAGCGGGTGCTCAGTTTTGTAAAAATTTCCATGTGAAAAAATTTAATGAATTTAATGAAAAAATTTCTTCCAATTTTTTCAGGAATTGTCCATATAGCCTTCTTTGTTAGAATAAATTTCGGGTGAAATTTTTTCATTTGTATTATATTTATATATATGATATTATATATATGATAAAATCTTTGTTGCAGAGTTTACGGTTCCGCAGCCACACGAAATTGATATAAGTGATCATGCAAAAACCCCAATTGATCCAAGCGTTTGTGTTACGCCATGCGCTCCGAAGCATCGTGCCAAAAAACCTGTTTCAGTTCGACGTAAAAAGAATGCAACAGCTTTAAAGATACCTACAATTAATTTGATTTGGAGTGATGATGAAGACGATAATAGTATATCACCACCACCTGCCACGAATAGAAAATCCAAATCACGAACAAATTTAGTGAAAAGAAAAATTTTAAAAGAAGATTTAGTGGATGACTAGCTTTCAATCAGCAGACAATGTTTTGAAATTATTTTTTAAATATTCATTTCTTATAAATTATATATTTTGCGCACTTTATTGTAGAAAACATATTTATTAAACATTAATTAAATATTTATTTTACATTTGTTATTTATTCGTGATACGAAATTAAAAAAAATTTATTTGACGTTAATGTCATTTAACATTTATGTCACTTTAATCATCTACTTGTAGCAATAATATTAAACGTAATAATATTACGTTTATTCAACATTTATTCATCATTAATTTAATATTTGTTAATGAATATAATTTGTTATTCATTTATAATAATAATTTTATAAAACATTTACTTATCGTTTATAAAATAATTTAATATTCATGTTACAATAATGATTTATTTGCAATAATAATTTAAAAAACTTTTAAATATGTATTCAACAAAATCAGAAGACTCCAGAAATCCCTAACGAAAAAGGTTTTAAAATTTAAAAAAAAAATTAAAAGAAGAATAGAAAAAGACATTATTACGGACATTGTTAAGAACATTATTAATGAACATAAAAATACACGAAATAAATGTCCCAAATTACTTATAAATAATAAGGAATAGTACAAGAACGACAATCCAGTCTCTGAAGATCTCCAAAAAAAAAAAAAAAAAAAAATCGAAAACAGAAAAATCATTTGCTTTTTCCAAAGCTTTGTCAAAACAGTAAAGATACTATTGCGTATATTTCATAGCATAATGAAATAATTATTTTTAATTACAGTCAAATTTTATAATTAAAAATATATCTTATTGTCTCTTATACTTAACAGAAGATTAAAGAGGTATTCTATGTTTATAAATTATTCGAATGGATGATTAAATTGAGGGTTTTAATTTTTTATTATACTTAATAAATAATCATTATTTTGTTCCAACTAAATATTTTATAACTAAATTCAATATATTGACACTTTTATGTTTTTATTCTTGTATTTATTATTCTTAACATAAGTATCACACAAGTGTCTCGTATAATAACAATAAACTGTGGAGCAAAAAAATAAACATGTAAATATATGTTTACATGAATGTTATACAATTCCGCGGTTTTGCGCTAACAAAATAAAACAAACTTAATTACAATACTTGTTTCAATTAGAGCTTGGAATACCCAAGTATTTGCCCGCCCGCTCCGTTATCCGTGCATACAAATCTAGATAATTGTCGCAATCGTTAGTGACAGCCAATGAATGCCATGCTTTCTTCCAGGATAATCCTGCCATTGGTTGTCGTTAGTTAACGATAACGGCAATCATCGACGTTTAGAGAAATCCCACCACTAGACCGCTAATTCGAGTATTCGCAAAATCGTATATGATGCGAGAGTATCCACTACATGTTAAATATCTGCATGTAATTTTGTCAATTTTAAAGATGTATTTTACAATAGTTTGTAATGATTTTCATTTTGTTTGTAATTAAAATATTCCAGAACTAAACTGTTTCGTTTTCGCATTATGGATATTAAATACATTTCCAAATTTAATTTATCTCGCAGAGACTGTACATCCTTAATTCAAACTGTTGTTAAACAATTCTAAAACGCCTTTAAAATTGATGAAATTACATGCAGATATCTGTAATATATAGCGGATATCCGCATTGAAATAGATACCCACATTGCCCACGATTCTGCGGGTATTCGCATCGTATCGAATTAGTAGGTACTCACGGAACACCGATCCAGAGTCGTATGTACGGATAATGGATTTGCTGGCGAGTACCCGAATTTTACCCAGTTCTTTTTCCGAGCTCTAATTTTAACTGATTTAATGTATGAAAAACGCGATTATTATGCAATAAAAATAAGTAATAAGATTCACTTTAATTCTATGAGACACATTTGCTTTTTTCTGAGCAGTGTGTGGAAGAAAATGGATTTATAAGTTAAACAGTTATCCTGTTTTCTATTGTATAATTAACACATGAAATTAAAAAATTCAGAAAATCATCAGAATTAGGACAAACACAATTCATCACATAATATAATGTAAAAGTTAAAGTAATAATAGCACTAGTTTACAAAAAATATTTTTTTTAATTTGAATCAGTAAATGTATTTTATAGATTTTTTTTTAAACAGTTAGAAACTGTCGCAAGCCAAACTGTACCAATATATCAAGTTTTAAAAAATTAATAATTTATTAATTTTTAAATTAATTTATAATATGCAAAAAATAATGTTTTTAAGGTATTAAAATTTTTTTCTGTAAAAAAGATTGACGTTATCTTTTTTTATTTATTTATCTTTTAATTCATAGTATATTTTTGATCCGATTTAAATTCTTCACAACATACGAAGCTTATAAGATATTAAAATAAAAAAAGAGATAATTTAAAGGAGGGTAAATAATATATTCGTAACTTCTAATCATAATTCCAAAATAATGTTAATCATTTTTACAAAAAAAAGTGAATATTGTAAAAGACATCTTTTATTAAATTTAATTATTTTGGAAAGCTGAAATACTGATGAAATTTGGCTTGTGGCAAATTTTGTTTTGAGCATCCAAAAATCTATAAGAAACATCTTGTCAAATTAAAAATAATTTTAGTTAAACTAGTGTAATGAAAAGAAAGAAAACAGATGTGTTTCACAGCAAAAGACTGTTTTTACGATTGTATGCCAATAAATGTTACTGTGTACATGAGTGGACTGTGTTACATGTGTGGACAGCTTTTATTTATTTTTTTTCTTGTATATAAAAATAACAAAGTTACATTAACCTGTAATCACAGTCTGTAAATGGCTATAATGACAATTCTGAAGCCGTGGAACATTCATCCCTTACATGTTTAAGATGTGCTAAAACCCGCGCCTCTTCTTGCGTTTTAGCTAGTTCCATCAATGCTAAAGCACCCTGCCATTTCTTATTGTCTTCCTGTACCGGTAACTTATCTAGGCTTATATTGTCCTCCTGCTTAACACTAATTATTCTTGTCTCCGTTTTTACGGGATCCATTGTGAGGGACGGTTTTGAGACAATTTCTTTGCTGCTATTAGAACTACCAGCCAACATCAGAACTGTCGGTCTAGTTTCGTTTTCGCTGATACGAGAGTTTGCTAGTGTATCCTGTTTCGTTGTCTCTAAACGAACAATCTGCTCTGTGTAATCGAAAATCGAACATGCAGATTCAGAACTTTGACTTTGAATTTTTATAGCAGATTTGTTAATACTAGTTTCAAAAATACCCTGATTATTTGACAAATTATTTAACGGATCCCATTGTGGCTGATTCAGAGAATGCATAATCTCGTATACATTTTCTTCCTCTACTTTTGGAGGTTCGTTGTCGTGATTTATCATGCAACACGTTTGAGAGGTGATATATGAAGGTTCCAATTGTGTATTTGGAATTTCATGTTTGCTGTCCAAATTCGATACAGTTGTATTATTCTCGGGGACAGAATGGTCCAAGAATGCCGTATACCAGTGAAATTCCGATGATTCTGTAGGTCTGTCTAGAATTTGTTTCTCATCCATCTTGCGTATGGTCGTTACGTTGTTAGGTCTAACGTCCTCGTTTAGGTCTAACTGTTGATCTAAGCAAGCATACCGTAGCCATCGTTTCTTTGGTTGCAGTCTATCCAAGGGTCTTCTCAGTGAGGTGATTGCTAACTTGGCGTTTGATCCTTCCTCATCCTCGGATGTTTGCAGTATCGCACAGCATGTTTCTGCTGGATCTTCATCTTGGCTCTCTTCTTGACTATCTTGATTCTCTTCGCAATGCAGTCGTTGATTTGAAGGATTGTGGTCAAGATTTTCCTGTTCTCCTGCTATATCCATCATAAGGCCTTTTCTAGATTTTATCCTCTTGTGATTTTCGGCAGTGCTCTTCCATGTCTTCTTCTTTCGTTCATTCTTCCCAGTCGGTGTACGGTCTTCTCGTTCCCTGGACATCTTGTAACGTTCCAACCATCGACTTACATCATATGACAATTCCGTGTTTTCAGATACTGGCTTTAATACAAAATCATCTGATCTTGTAAGATTGGCATAAGGATGATCGGGGCAATGTCTATTGGCGTGAGTAAATCTCGTTTCACAACCTGGTACGGTGCATAAAAATGGCTTTTCTCCTGTATGCAATCGTTGATGAGTCTTCAGTTGTCCCGATTGGGTGAAAGCCTTCGAGCATCCAGGATAATCACATGGATATGGACGTTCTCCTGTAATTAACATGAATATTTTATTATGTATTTTATCAAATTAATTATTATACAAATAAATTCTGAAATACATGTGTGTATATACAAAATATCTCTCTAATATATTTCGTAATTTATTTTAACACAAAATGGAATCTGACTTGTACGTTATTAATCTTTTCAATAAACAAAATGAAATCTAACTATACGTATGTATATAAACGTTACATTTCAAAAATGTTAAATTTTAATTTTTTCTCTAAATAAATTAATATATACCAATACCGATTATTAATCTTTTCAAAATCTCAATTTTAATGTGTAGCTTAAGCCTTATAATACAATAATAAAATAATAATGTTTTCTATCAATGTAGATTAATATTCTCGAATCGAAATTCAATTTATTCTTCACCTTTTTCTAATTCTTACAATTAAAAAAAGATGAAGGATCAATTAAAATTAAAATTAAATTATAAGAGTAGAAAATATAAGAAATTTTACTACGCATCCGGCATTTAAATCTGCCAAACATTAGTTTTCTGAATTCAATCAGTACTATTATGAAAGAAAGAAATTCAGCAGTCAGAAAGGTTCGTAATATTTTTGAAAAACGCGTCTTTTTTTTTCTTATTATCTGTACACAAAGAAAACGCGCCACTTTGTGTCGTTAACGGATCGACAGTACGCGTGAACAAACATCACAGAGAGTTCTCCCCTCTCCATCTCTCTCAGAACCGATTAAAATTCCCATACAATTCGGGACTCGGGACGGCATCGCCGGTTACACGTGTCACCGCGTGCTGTAAATTTCGCGCGCAACTGGCAAACTACGGCCACACATAGAGTTGGGGACGCGTCGGTGCCGGGACTGCCGGGTGCGTCGCAGCGCGTCGCAGCGTTACGCCGGCACGCAAGTCGAGCCATTTAAGTATTTAAAGCGCGGCATGATGGCCGATTGGCGGGACTGGCGCGAGCAGTGAGATGCATGCGACACGCGGAACAGAGAACTATCTCTTGCGCGCGCGATCGTTCTCTCTCTTTCTCTCTCTTTCACTCTCTCTTTTGTTTTCTGTTGAGAATCGCGAGGTTGAATAAAAGCTGAATAAAAGCCGCCGCGGATGATCGACGCGATCGGCGCAGGATAAAATCCCTTTACCCGTGTGAGTGCGCAGGTGTGCCTGCAGACTCTTCTCGCGCGGGAACACCCGGTTGCAGTAGGTACACTTGATGCTGCTCGGCGACGTACTGCCCTGCTTCATGAGATTCGTGAGTGCGTCGGCGCGCGGCCGACCGCGCCGGTGGCTTTCGGAGCCGTTGCCGGCGGCTGATCTACCGGCCGCGTTACCACCGCCCGCGTCTAGCCCCGCGACATGCTGCTCCCTGTACTCCGGCGAAGAGCACGAGCTGCCTGGGCTTAGATTCACATTGCGTGCCTCCTCACCCCAGTTCCACGGATAGAAGGTCGTGTCGCACATCGAAGGACTGTGATCGAGCGACTCCGCGGAAGAGTCCGCTGACGGCCGCTGCTCCCGTTTCGGAGTGTGGAGTTCCATCCTCGCCGCTCCACCGTTCTGCCAACGCGTTATCCAGTGCTGCCTCGTCGGCTGGCGGCTCGTTCTCTTTACCTCTCTTTCGACAATTAGACCTGCTCTTTTCACACTTTACTTCTCTCACACGATCGGTTCACTTGTCACAATCGTTGTCGTTACCATTACTAATCGCTCTATACACGCGACGCGATGCCCAGCGATGGCCCCCCAGTGATGCCCAGCAATGCACTCGCGGTTCGCGGCGGAACGCGGTAACCTACCGCTAACCGCTGACTGGCTTGACACGCGCGACCTCTCTGCCACTGCCGCCAGGCCGCCTCCACCCGCCAGTCCCGCCACCGTCGAGTCGAGCGCGTAGTACGCGTGCCGCGTGCAACTGGTAAACCGCCAAAATACGCACACAGCTATACATAAGCGTAGAGTACTCATAATCAGTCAGTACACTCTACGACCCTACACAACTTCGCGAGTTGTTCAAAATGGCCGCCCTATGCGCGCGCATTGCATCCTTCTAGGCGGATTTGTATGTACTACATACAGCCACGTGAAACGTAATCAACTGTAACGAATCTGGATGGTGAAAAACAAAGTATTCATCGTAGGCATCTTTTATTTTGTAATTCTTAATGGTATCTGATATTGTTATTTTAAATACGAAGCGCTACTACGGTCTGAATGTTAAGCTGTTGTATTATATATATTCAATCCCCTCAAAAATCTCGCACGAAATGCAAGAGATCCGGGTTCGACTCCCGGCCGAGACAATATTTTTCGCAATAGGTTTATTACAGTTTTTTTTAAATTAAATTTGGGAAATTTGGAGGAATTATGAATATTTCAGATTGATTGCGTTGAAAGTCCGACAACCATATCGGTACGCAATTATCATTTCTGAAATTAATTCAGTTATATGTATAGTAATATATATAATATGAATATATATAATAGTTTTACATCTTAAAGTAATGTTAACATAAATGGTTTTGTTTCCAATTTTATTGATATATTGTCGATGAGCAATTTTTTATCGTATCGTATCTAATATCTGGACAACGATAATAAAATAGCGTTTTCCAGTTTGGAGTAACTGATGTACCCTAAGTGCAATTGAGTGGAAATTAATTGGTATTCTACAGTTTTACTTACAATTGGTATTCGACTGTTGCCACAGGCAGATGCAGGTTGATGCAGGTTCATTCAGGTTCAATCGTTGGTTCCAAATACCTGACGTCTCAATTTCGCGAATGTACAAACGCACATAATAATCTCACAATTAAAATTGCATAAAATAAAAATATGTAAAAGAAAAATTAAAAGAGTCGATTCTGTATCTTGAAACAAGAAATTACAAAAGCGAGTGAATTTACTGAAATATTTATACCTTCATTGATCGACATTGATAAATTTGCTCACTTTCGTAATTTTCACCTTGTTTCAAGATATAGAAATCGATCTCAATTTCGATTGATTCAAGAAACGACTGTCATTCGGATAAGTTTGTAAATCCGCCTATCCGCGCATGACGTCGTGAATTTCCGGCGAGCGGTGATTGGCCGGCGTCGATTGGACAAAATCGATCGGCTGACGCCGATTGGGCGCGTGACGTCACGCGCCGCCATACAAGAGCAACACAACACACTTGTTGTTTCGAAACAAAGCGTTTATCGTTGCATTTCGCAAATTTATTGCGACTGTCTGAATCGTTTCTCGTATTTTTTCGTATTTTCAAGGAGACGTGGCCGAGAAATGCCGTTATGATTTTCTCAAGATGAAACGACGACGCAGCGGTTCGCCGGTTACCGCGGCGTGTCTCATGGAAATCGCGCGACTTTCCGGCCGAGACGACGAAATATGAACAATTGAGAGTCTTCTCGAACACTACGATATCGTCTAGCAGCAATTCGAATCGCGCGTAAATTCACGTTGTATTTTTTCAGGTCGATCGAGATGATGGACCGGGCTGGGAGCGATAATAGTAAAGAAATACGATAATTCTGGTGGGGGAGGTGGCGCGCTGATTGCAGAGCAATTCCGTAGTCTCTCGTCGATCTTCCCTCGCCCTTCTCCTCCCTCGCCTGTGCCTGCATGGTGCCGCAGCGGGGTAGACCTCGTGGTGGATTCGAGCTCTCCGACTCGGCCATATTGGATAGTGAATGACTCCGTTACACAGGGGCTCAAGAGTAGCCGTGAAACCTTCGCAAGATCCTCGACGCCGTGAGGATACCGAGACAAGATGGAAAACGAGTACACAGTTACGGTCACGAACAAGTTCCTGCTGGCGCTCGATGAGAGCGAAGATCCTTTGGAGGTGCTAAAAGTGCGCGAGCAAGAGAAGGAAGCCAAGAAAAAGGAGAGGATCTCAGAGAAGGAGAACAAGACCAAGCAGCAACAGCAGCATCAGCAGCAACAGCAGCAGCAGCAGCAGCAACAACAGCAGCAGCAGCAACAACAGCAGCCGCAGGACGGTCAAAAGACCGTCAACAACAAGACGCAGAAGAGCCGCGTGATCAAGGACGCCCAGCAGCCACCGTCGAAGGCGCAGGAAACTAAAAAGGATCAAGGTTAGCCCTCCCCCCGGCACCTCGTCGCCTCGTGTCGTGTGCGCGTTATGGCCGTCGGTTTCCCATGTGCTTGCCGATTTTACGCCGATCTTCTTCGCGATGATCCCCGCGTCACCCGCCTCCCCGATCGATCGACTTCACGGCGACTCGGAATTTCCTAGCTGCGAATGAAGTCAAGAGTATCGTACTCTTTCGCGATGCGATCGCGCGTCGGTTACCAAATTTTCTAAAAATGATTTGTTCGCCTTAAAAATAGGCCCGCGCGTGCCGAATTCCGCGACCGTTTTGTCCCCACGCGGGGACACCGGCACACCATTCAACGCTAAATTCGTGTGCGAGCACGCCGGATATGCGTCTCGTCTCGTCTCGACTCGTGCGGCTATATCTCCTTAGAGTTTATCTAGCTATCATGGGATCGTATGATCGTATATCGGGCTTCTATTGCTTTGTAAGTGATATCTTTGTACGTGATATCAAATTTATGAATAACATGTGTAGATACGTATAACGTTCATGACCATTGAAAATCCTATGTCCATTGTCTGCATGCTCATGTATGTATGTTGACCGTTTTATTTTTAAAATACATCTTTTAAGAAAATATTTGTAAAAGAATATGGAATACACAAGGATTTTTTTCTCTAATCAAAGTTCCTCCTATAATTAGATTGCATGGCTCTTATTAATAAATTATATTAATAGCCCTTTTTTTCAAGATACATAAATGTATTTTTTTTATGTATTTTTTTTATGTATTTTAAATTAATTTTAAGTTGAATTAATCTTAACAGTCGAACATCTTTATATTTATCTAATTCATTGTGTTATATCTGTTTTCATCAATTTTAATTGAACTTATTCTTTGTCTTTTTTCTAATTCTTAAAATTGAAAAAAATATGAATAAAAATGTGCCTGTGGCACATGATGCTTGTTTTCCTGCTGGATTCCTAGCTGGATTAAAATCTTGCCATTGTTATTGGCTGCAGTATCGTCAATGTCATAGCCAGTACAGTAGCAAAAATTTATTTTAGTTAAATCCAGCAAGGAAAGATAATAAGACAAAAATTTATTCTAAATAGCAATCCATCATGTGCCTGGCTTAAATTAAACTGAGATTAAAGTTGATCTAAATCTTTGGTGGAAATAGAGGCATTTCAAACAAATGTCAATTAAAATTCTCTTGTTGGAAAGCAAGAGAATTTATTTATTTATTTATGCAAAATAATTATATTTGTATGCTTTATGTTAATGTTCTCAGCCGATAAGAAATCCGCTCAATCAAGAGCGAGTGGAGGTGACCGGAATGTTAAGTTCTCTGGGGAATCTCGAGAGGAGCGCAATAACAGGCGCAACCGAGAAGATGGAGAGAGGACGCTTCGAGGACAAGGAGAGTTCAGACGGGGACCTCCTAGGTTAGTTTCAAAATAAGACATTAAGATAATCGATTATATTATAGAAATCATATTATCAAATCATATTTTACTTATACAATATTTTGTATTGAAATATTCATCAAATTCAAATATTTCATTCATATATAAATAATAATAAATGAGAAATATTTTAATAACAATTAAAGTACGATGTTTGTCCGCATAATGTAACAGAGTTGCAATTGGAACAAAGTTACTATAGTTCATGTAAATATATTCAAGATAGATACAGTTCGTATTTTTAATTTTCTAGTCTTCGGTTTGTTTTTGTTTCTATCACTGTAAATTCGTTGTTATCTGCTCAAAATGTCTTTTATTAGCTTCATGTGCACTGGGATCGAACTCTGATCTTTATATTAACAAGCAAGTACTTTATCATCATGTCATTTAGCGTCTCGAGTTGAAGTCTTTTAAAAAAGGGTGCTTAATATCGATACAAACGTTCTATCTCTCTTAGCATTTCATGAATAACGAAGACAATACTCGTGTCAACTTGTGTCATCAAATGGAAAATATCCACATGTGTATGTTTCAAAAACATACACATGTGTTGTGCGCAATATATATATTAGATATGTCAACGTGATGTAAATAATTTAATGAATTTTATATTTATATATATGTATATGCAGTAAGAGCGAGATGTAGAAACGCATATTCGGATCCATTAATATTAATATAATTCTACAAATTTCTGGACTTTAAATATTTTTTCGCATTTGTAGCAATTGCATATTCCATTTCATTTCAGCGAAGGCCGCGAGACACGCGAGTTCCGAAACTCGAGCGAGACTCAACGAGGCGAATATGGCGAGCGCCGTGGCCGTGGCGGTATGCGGGGTATGGGTCGCGGACGTGGTGGCCCTCGTGGACGCGGCGGCTTTGATAATCGCGGCAAACGCGAGTTTGATCGTCAATCCGGTTCTGATAAAACGTAAGTATCAAAATACACATGCACACATATAAAGAGACATTACATTCGAATATCTCTATGTAATAATGCTTGCCTCAATGTGCGCACTGTCATCGTTACGTTTGAATCTTTTTCAGAGCACCGACAAATGCAGTCTGTTCTCTTCTACTCTGCTTTATATTTGTATTTTTATGCTTAATTTCATTATTTTTTTCTAATTGTGATACTTTTATGTTACACGGGACGGTAAATATTTGCAATAGTTTGCCGAATATTTTTTTTTTTACATTTATTATAATTTTTTTATATTATACTACTTTTTATATTATAACATTTATTATAACTTTTTAATTACATATAAATAAGGAATGATAATTTC